CCATGCTAAACACTGTGGCGAAGCGAGAGAGTTATATGGACAAATATGAGCCACTATGATTCAATTGATTCATGTGAGCCCTACGGCATCAACTGAGTTACATTTTTTTTGGACAGGGAGTCTGAGTTACCGATTCACTTATAGGAATCAACTCAATAACTCAACTCTGAGTTGAGTTACCCACCTCTAGTTTAAGTGTACGTTAAAATTCCGATGGTTTTCTATCACTTATGTCAAGATCTGCAAGGAGAGACTCCAAGCGTTGGGATTGACTAAGAGAATTTTTTTCTAAAATAGCTTCTTTAAGTGTAGTGTATGGTGTTGAGTCTGAATTATTCCAATTATCATTAATAGTTTGTATAACATCAAAAACTATGGCGGTCAAATCCTGTGATAGAGCTTTTATAAGATATTCATACTTGGAATTTTCGTTGTTAATATTTTTCGTTGTTATAATTGGTTGTTGAAAGTTAATTAAATTCCTATTTCTAGTAATAATCGGACTTCGCGGAAATGGCATAAATAAATAAAAAGAGAACAATCACAAAATAAACTAAGTTAACCTGATAGCTTTGCTCGACTTCCAAAAGGATGGATGTCTAACGATGACTTCTGGTGAGTGAAAATCCCTTTAGCATCTGGATGCCGCTTGTGAACTTGGATGTCGCCTGTGAACTTGGATGTCGCTTTGGGGTTTCAATTGGAATTGATGCCAATGTTAAATGCCTTTCCAATAGCTTTTAGTTCCTTTTAATGGTTTGATGTTGCATTGCCTTGTAGCCAGGACGAACTATTTTCAGTGATCCGATTTCCAAATATTAAACAAATCCGCTTAAAGATGTGAGTTTTTTCTTGATTCACGGTTTCAAGGTTGGGAGTTGTTCAAAAATCTCCGCAAATATTTCTTGAAATTTAAATTCTCGAAGGAGGTTGTCCTATGCCGGGGTCACAAATTATTAATTATTAAGAAAGAAAATTTTCTTGAAATTTTTAATATTGATTGTTTAAAGCACCGTATATACTTACAAGTATGGAATCCTATGCCCCTTTTTGTCTATTCTCTTTCTAACAGCGGACGTGCCTGCCAAACAGCGGACGTGCCTGCCAAACTGAAAAGCATGATGGCGGCAGTGTTTGACAGGCACGTTCGACGATGCGAACGGCAATGGAAGGTAAGAAATGGAAGATGGATGACATGAGAATGAAAGAATTATGAAATAGCAGAATGTCGAACCAAAACGAATTTCAAAATCTGACAATGCGGATGACGTCAAAATGAAAGAAATGCAAAATACCGAAATGTCGAAACAGAAGAAATAGATGACAGCCACGTGTTCAAGGGTTTCGTGCAACAAAAAGAGTTGTTGTGGTGCGCCATTCAATATTAAAAAAAAGTAATGTAGTTAAATACGCTTTTCTATTAAGTTGAAAAATTACATATTTCGCCAGCCAAAAAGTATATAAATAAATATATAGCATATTGCTATAAGATTTATTTATAAAAACGGTACATGCTTATGACCTTATTCATAAAAAAGAAAATAGATGTAAAGTAACATTAAAAAAATCGATTTGCTTACTTTTTAAGAATTTGGGAAAAACATTTAACTAGAGTTTTTGTGCACCCATCTCTTTTTCTGTTTATTATTTTCAAATTTTTCTTTTCCTTAATATTCATTGAGTTTTCATTTACACCCAGCAAAAATCAAAATATTTTATAAGAAATTTGTTGACCGTTTCTCGCACACTTCTTTCATGCTTTTTTATCGTAGTTATTATTCTGTTGACATCTAAATTGCCATAAATTTTATGTTGTTGCCAATACATTGTTTTCCGGCGTTTCCTCTGTAAACTTTTATAGCTACATTCATAAAAATATTACTAATTTTGGTTTATATTTTTTTTCCATCTTGTTATTGCTGAATATCAAAAAGGAATTAATAAATAATAAAAAGTTAGTTAAAATTTTAGTGAATGGTTCTTACAAATAATATTATTTTATGGTTGAAATGACTTGATCGCCGTCAGGAGCTTATCAACTTTTTTGCCAAAACCAAAGCAGACGGGAAGGAAAAATAGTTGTTCATTAACGATTTGTCTGAAATATCGTTCTTGAAATGCGTTACTGCTCACTAAATTTGTAAAAATAAAATTTTTTCACTTAATTGTTATATTCTTCCTCATTGTGGTAAATTTACTCATCATCACAGCAGGGCGCAATCTTCTTTTCTATGATTATTGTATCGCTACTTTGAATTTCTCAATTTTGACAATTCTGATCTAAAGGTAAACGAAACCTCAGAAACTTTAAATGCACTGAAATTCACTAATACCCACTTCCGCAAAAATCACCTTATTTCGTATTTCCTTTGTTAAAAGTTATTGTAAATCACATATTTTTATTGCCTTATTAATCAAAAATAAAAATTTTAAAAAGCTTTTTAAATTGCCGTTTACAAACATTTTTCAATATATAAGCCTTTTTTAAGCTACTTTATTGTTTATGAATAAGGCTATTACAAATTAGCACAATCAAAACACGTTCCTTACCGAAAAATTTATTATTAAGAAAATTTGCTGTTCTCACATTTTCTTTCAACATCCAATTCGACTTTTATTACTTTTTGTACAGATATGTCATCGCCGCCAGGACGGCGCAATCTTGTATTCTATCTTTCTTGTCAAATATGCATTTAGATCTAACTGTCATACTACTATTAATGGTAACCATGAATATTCATTAAAATCGTTTCAATTCGGAATAAAAGTAATTTACATACTGCTAGTGTAAATATATTTTTTAATATAAACTACCTTTTTTAATTCTAAAATAAATCAACAATCTCAATATTTATAAGAAAATTGTCTTCAAAAAATACGTCCCAAATCATCCCTGTTGATATCATAATTCAAATGCAAATTAGAATAGAAATTTTGATACAAAAGTTTTTCCACGATATTCATCATACAAATTTATCATCTTACTTGTCCGTATGTCGCTCTGGAAAGAAATATATTTTAACTGATATGTTTTCTTGAAAATAAATGCAAATTTACCTATTTTTTCCACCGGCAGGCACGAATATGATATTCAAAACAGAAGCAATGACAACGAATTTTACACACATTGTTGCATTTTAGCGCAAAACGATAAGTTTCACAAATATTTTAAATTATTGCCTGGAACATACACATTTATCGTTATTATTGGAAATGCAAGACTTGGCACGCATTTTTAATTTCTTTTTTATTGAATTCAAATGAATAAAAACACATTTTAAATATTTCTCAATTTACATTTTAAAGTTTTTTGTGAAACTTGAATGTAACTCTGTGCGGAGAATGAGAGAATTGAAAATCAGGTGATCTCAGCTGTTTTCAAATGTAAACAAACAAAATGGCGCTTTCCATACTTGTAAGCCTATACGATGGTTTAAAGTTTCTTTTTATTCTGGAAAAATATTTTACATTTTCTTGGCAGTACCTTTCGAAACCTGCTTGTTCTCTTTTAAAAATTAGAATTAACAAAGTATTTAACAGCCGTTACAAAAGAATTATGAAATAGCAGAATGTCGAACCAAAACGAGCCCTATACAGTAACATTAAAAAAAGAATCGATTTGTTTACTTTTTATAACATTAGTTGCGTTCCCCAACTTTTCTGGGCTAAAACCTGTGAAACTGTCAAAAGGCAATAGAAGCCAGGGAGCCGAGTACGGGAACGCTTTCTGGCAAATTCCTGTAAATTCTTGCAACTTGCGAGTTAGGGAACGCAACTATTTTAACTTAACTTTTTGAGCACCCATCTCTTTTTCTGTTCATTATTTTAATACTCATTTCACTGAGTTTCCATTACACCCAGCAAAAATCAAAATATTTTATAAGAAATTTGTTGACCGTTTCACAACGGCATTTAAAGCTTTTTTTCTTCAAAATGAAACACAATATAAACAGTGAACAGCCTTGGGTGAATTTGGCGACTGCCTTCCTCGGGGATGAATATGCCACGGATGAAATTATTGGTACACGCGCTTACTAAGCACGCAGGGTTGCTTTTGAGAAAAAAAATAACTCCAGTTTCAAAATGTACAGTGTAAAACGAAATTTATTGAATAATTCCACATAAAATGGTATACATAAATGACTAATTTTTTAAACGATTTAAATAAAACGCATTTCATAACCTTATTTATGCAAAAGGCCTGTGCCTAGGGATAAATCGATACAAGTAAATCCAAGTACATACTCGATACTTTTCTCAATTTACCAAGTAGTTTTTTACTCGATACTTTTTACCGCGATCCAAGTAGGTATCGAAAAAAAGTACTTGTATCGGAAGCACAAAACTTATTATGCTTCAGCATCTTTGAAAAAGCAACCCATTAGAGGAATGGGAAGATAAGCGCACTACATTTCCACAGCTATATAAGCAAGCCCGTCTATACATAACGGTTGTTGGGTCATCTGTTCCTTGCTAGAGGCTTTTCTCAAAAACAGGTACAACTATCAGGCATGTTCTAAAATTTGATATCGACCCGATTTCGATAATTTTTTCGATGGTTTTTAACCCAAAAATTTACAAATCTCGCATTAAAATGATTTATTTCATATCGCTGCTGCTTCTTTTACGGGTTTCAATTAGAATATTCACTCTTTTCATCAGATATAATAAAAAAATATTTGGTAAATGGAGTCGTTTATCAAAGTCTCGAAACCGCCTTTCAGGATAACACTTGGAACTGTTGATTTTTCTGGGGAAATATAACAAAAATGGAGTTATTTTCTTAAACTTATTTTATATGAAAAAACTTTATCTATTAATCTTTTAAAAATGTATTCTATTGTTTTTGTATGGAAAAATGTTAGAAGATAAATAATCTTGTAAAAATGCATTGTAAAAAAAATTCAATAACTTTGAAAAATCTGCAAAATCGTAGTCCTATGTACAAGTACTCGATCCCTTTCTGATACTGAGTAGGAATCGATACCTTGTTTGATACACGTACAAGTACTGGGACCGAATCACGGCTCTCGTGAACGAGTGACCGGTCGAGGAGAGTAAAATTTCGATTCGAATCGAATAGGCAAATCATGGCACTCGATTCGTAAGCTAGCGAAATTTCTTCGATTATTAATCGGTTGCCAATTAGTAAATGTATCATCTTTAACCATTTTTCAGACGTAAACAAGAAATAAAATATTCATATCAGTTATTATAAAATGAATATTTCAGTATTTTTTTATTCGAGCTCGCCTGATTCTGATAATGTAGTCAGTCAAGTGCAGATACGGAGAGGATTACGTGACAAAAGCAATCCCTTAAGTTTACCAGCAGCAGCATACGTTAAAGTTCTTTATTTGCAGGTTCAAAAAACGTTTCCGACTGTCAAAACCTGCATTCGAGTACGTGCTTTCGGAGCTTGAGTTTGAGGGGCATATGTCCACATCAGTACCCTCCGTCTTGCAATTAGCTGCTACGTTATCGCTTTTGGGAAGTGAAAGTTTTCAGCACGTACTCCACTGAAACGTCCATTGCAGTAGCTTGCAGCAGCAGCTCCTCGGACGCCGTCAAAAGCTTTTCTTGGTAAGGCCCACCTCCGGTCTTTTGCTTAGAAGCTTTATTAAAAGACAGCTTCTTTTTAACGTTCTGCCTTTGGTCTGCAAATACCTACAATTTTAAGCCAAATAATACACTAGCTTCTGATTATATAAATTCAAAACAACCTACTTTACGCCACATTTCAAGTTCTTTTATAGGCGGACCAGCAGAATTTAATTTTAAGGAAAGTTGCTCCCACAATCTTTGAGCAACGGTTCTTCTTTGAACGCAATTTGGCAGAATATTTCTGGCCAAATCCGGGTGCTCCTGCATATATTCCGCCATAATACTTTTTTTTTGTTGATTTTGTTTATGTTTGTCCTTAAATATAAAAAGATATTAAAGTTTGCAACAGTTTTTACTAGAAATATACTCACATTTTGTTGTTTTATTTTAATTTTCCACTTCTCGATGCAAAATTTACTGTCGAATGGTGTTTTGAATAATTCTACTCGAACGTCTGCTCGATATCGAATGGGGTGATGCCAAATTTCGATAAATTTTACTCGATCACGAATGCGGTGATGCCAAAACAGAAAATTTCGAAAAATATTACTCGATCACGAGAGCCGTGATTCGGCCCCTGATTGGAGTAATACCTTGATGGTATCGATTTATCCCTACCTGTGCCAATTGATAGAAAAGTACTCCGGATTGCAAATTTTTGACAACTATGAGGTAAATGAAAATTTTCAACCCGCTGGTGAAAAATGTTACAGCAAGAATTACACCATGGAACTTTTCTACTAGTTGACATAAAATTACTATCTCAGTGCTCGGAACGCCGCCACTGAGCGCCTTGCCAACTGATTAAAAATTGAAAATTTGGAAAGATCAAACAAACATTTTGAGATTTCTTGTGGTGAATACGAACGCCATAATTTTTACCTAGCTCGTGGAACCACGCAACATTTTGACAGCTTGCAAATATGTATACACTTAGGGCCGGTTGCTCAAAGCCTGGTTGACACTAATCATCGGTTAACATCGTTATCGACGTTTTCGTATCCATGTATATAACACGGTGTCGGTAACGTCGATAACGATGTTTAACCGGGTATTAGTGGCAACCAGGCTTTGAGCAACCGGCCGTTAAAGTTGGCGGTAATAAAGAGTCAAAATCAAAATGGGGTCTGGAAAAGAACAAAAAGCGTACGTTAGTTGTCAGTTATAAAATAAATAAAATTTATTTGCGAATATTTGTTAATTCTATTTATTGAAAGGCAACGACGCGGAAAGCTTGTGTTAATTATATTGCTAACAGAACCTGGCAGCTCGCACGTTGCCTAAATTCTCAAGTTACATCAAATCCCCAAATGAATACATTGCTTGTATTACCATCAATATCGCCATGTATAAACTTTAACAACATACAAAAATAGAGCTTTCTCACGAGCGTTTGTTTGGGTTTTCAACACCATTTATAATTTTCTTTTAATAAAATCACGATATAGCTACAACAACAACGATTAGTACAACAACAACCCAAAAAGGTTGGCTACTGTCTATACTGTGAATTGAATAGATTTCATCCTTATGCTTTTTTATTGTAGTTATTATTCTGTTGACATCTAAATTGCCATACATTTTATGTCGTTGCCAATACATTGTTTTCCGGCGTTTCCTCTTACATTAATAAAAATATTAAGGGTACTCATCCAACCTTATAAATGCATTGTAAACCGTATAAACTTATAGTTGTGTATACCTTATAAATGAACTGTCAAAATTTGTATGGAAACCCGTTTACACATTTCTGATAAATCTCTCCGGAGATTTCACTGAATAAACTTGATAAACTGAAGCCAATGCAACTCTGTCGCAGCTCTAGCTATGTTTCTTTGGGCAATAATCGGGATCCGCATAAACATTTTTCACGCAAATTCAACAACAACGATATGATCCTGATAGAGATCTGGTTCAATTATTATCCGCTCTGCTTGTTTTGATTCACTGATAATTTGGCCGCAAAGTTTGTTAGCCGTCATAAATGAGTTCATACACAAACAGACACTCCGCCATTGTTTCTTTTAACATGCTTCAAATAAATAGCCCTTATGTTATATGTATATTTATTTAAATAGATATTATCTCGTAAATATATTTTTTCCCATTTAGCGAGTTACCCCCTTATTCTAGAACCAGAATTTTCGTAATTCGTAATTCGTAGATACGCTACGAAAAACGAAAAATCCACATGCTGCAACCCTTGCGGAAACATGTGCAGCATTGCCAGTTATCAGTTGTTTTTCGAAGATAGCTGAATAAAGGAAAACAAAGAGGAAAGGAATTAAAAAAAACTCATGAAGCGCTTATTTATAGTAAAACTGTTTCATTTTACATATTTTGAAGGAAACGGTGGATTCTATTGCATTCGCAATTATAGCAGCGGAGTAAGAGCGCGCTATGGGAATGATTTCACAAAGATACGCGGAGCTGTCGGGCATAGTAACCATGTGCGCGTCTACGTCAGTTTCTAATTGAATTGTTGAACCACAAGCCAGAACTACTCCTATGCTTGAAGAACTGGTTCTCAATCCAGGTAATGCAATAACAGCTTCTTCCAAGCCATTGAAGACATGTACTTTGTTAGGTCCACCACCTGTTGCACTTGCTTCTGCCTTCGGACGCGCTTAGGGATTATAACCCTTACTAAGTAGAATTCTCCTTTCTGTGTTGCCGGAGAAGAAGAGCTTCCGCATGTCAAAGGTATATGTAGCGGTTGACTTGCATTCGATAGCGAGAAAACAAGACCCGCTACGTTATTTAATAATTTATTTAAAATCACAAAATCACAGCTCAATTAAATCGGGTAAAATACTTATTTTAGCCGGGGAGAGTGCAGCTGATGAAACGTCCGTCGTCTGTGCTGGTCCGCCAAAGAAGAAAGAGAACCAATCGAGAGATTAGAAAGCTGAGCGGCGAAGTTGATGAATCGTCAAATGTCATAGTGCTGAATAGATGATGATGGGCCGCACCATGAACCAAAAATACAAGATCACCTAATCAAAGAAGCAAGAAAAAAGTATATTTCTGAGCGTTTTTGACATCTGCCTAAGAATGAAAACAAACAAAGAAAACGAAAAAGGCGCGGTGATTGAGTGCGATTAAATTGGTATTTATTATAAAATATACAAAGTGAAACTTGATGACAATTAACAAAAAAAGTTCATAAAATATGGTTTTCATGATTGAAAGTGTTTTACAATCGCATATCATTACCACGGGTCGATTTTTCAATGCCAACGTTCTGGCCACAAACGTGCACCCACTTTTCACGCAAATTTACGCCTTTTGGCAAACCAAACATACGCACAAACTTTTCCAATCACACAGCACTTCATGTTATATCATAAATATGTTATAAACCAAAATTTGTAATTAAAATCGCTGCAGAAAACACATTCAATCGCTAAAAAATCACTATGAAGAGGTAGAAGACGATGTAAACAAAACCGAAAAACGTCAAAAACGCTACGAAAACTTTTTTCAAAAAATCGATTACAAATACAACGATGGCTGATTAGGTGATCTGTAGTCGTTGGTTCATTGGGCCGCACTGCCCTTAATTCATTAGGCTGGTACTCTACTTCAAAACCAATCTCTGAGTATGAGTAACTATTTGTAGAGGCGCAAGTCGCTACACACTCCCCTTGTTTGGGAAAAGAAAATTATGCGTATTACAGTATATTATCAGTAGAAAATATGATTAGATTACAATATGTTTTGAAAAATGAGAAAGATATTTAAAGGAAAAATTACAATTAGGTTTGCAAAAAAAACTTTAATTGTAAAATGAGACTGCTAGATTGGGTGAAGCCGTTGACGATATGGAAGCGGGTGGTTCTTGAACATGTAGGCTATCATCTGCAATATAGACCGGCTTTAATCTGTCGACTGAGACTGCATTATGCTTTCCTTTATAGTCCACGATGAAGTATTTGTCATTACGTTAGATAACTGGGAATGGGCCCTCGTACGGTGGCGAGAATGATATCTCAATATGGTCGTTTCGAACTAAGTCGTGAGAGCAGGTGTTGAGGTCCTTAAAATAAAAAACAGACCGCTTGCCGTGTCGAGACATTTCCTTTGGAGCCAAATTTTTAAAATGGTCTTTCAAAGAACGTATAAGATCGCTGGCTGTAACCTGTGAATTAGAAGGAGCGATAAACTCACCAGGTAAGCGGATTGGTTCACCGTAAACAAGTTCGGCAGGCGTTGTGGCGATGTCCTCTTTCCAGGCCGCACGAAGGCCAAGTAGAACGGCTGGTAAGGCATCGTACCATGTTTCATTGTGGCACAATAGTGCCGATTTAAGCTGACGATGAAGCCGCTCCACAAGGCCGTTTGATTGTGGGTGGTACGGTGTCGTTCTCAGATGTCTAATGCCAAGAACCTTGGAAAGAGTTTGGAATAGTCTTGACTCAAACTGGCGGCCTTGATCGGAAGTGATCCTTTTCGGGACACCATATCTCGCGATCCAGTGTCGAATGAGTTCACGAGCCACTGTTTCTGCGGTTCCGTTTTCCAGTGGTATTGCTTCCGGGAATCTTGTGAAACGATCCATTACTGTTAGGCACTGATTGAAACCTCGTGATGATGGCAGAGACACCGTAAATCAACGTGTATGTGTTCAAATCGTTGTGATGGAGGTTGAAAATTTGCTATCGGCGAACAGATATGACGCTGTATCTTATTGCGCTGGCAGTCGATGCATGATTTAGCCCACCCGCGGCAATCTTTGTTTATTGAAGGCCACACGTAGCGTTGGCTGACTAATTTCTGAGACGCTTTGATGCCCGGATGTGCAAGAGAGTGAAGTGAGTCAAAGACCCGTTTCCTCAATGAAGGAGGCACGTACGGCCTGATGGCACCAGCTGAGATATCGCAGTATAGTGAGGGCTCACTTACAACAATATGGATTTTCTGCAGATTCAACGTCGTGCTGGAATTGTTGATAAGCTGCTGAAGTTCGCTGTCGTCTTGCTGTGCGGTGGCAAGCTGCTGCGCTGAAACGGCGGCTGAGATAGCTTCTACGCGTGAAAGCGTGTCGGCCACGATATTGTCACGTCCTGATACGTGTCTGATGTCGGACGATAACTGGCCTATGAAGTCCAGTCGACGAAATTGCCAGGGCGAAGCTCGTTCTGGGCGTTGTTGGAATGCATGCAGCAAAGGTTTGTGATCTGTGTAGATGATCACGTGACGACCTTCGAAAATATGGCGAACATGCTTGATCGCTTCGTAGACAGCATGCAACTCGCGGTCGTAAGTCGACAACTTTTGAATAGAGGGCGGGAACTTCCTGCTGAAAAACGCTAATGGCTGCCAGTTGTTCCCAACATGCTGCTGCAGAACTGCTCCTGCTCCGTAGTCTGACGCATCTGTGAATATAGCCCACTGTGCTTCAGTACTTGGATGTGCTAGTAATGTGGCTTTGGCGAGGGACTTTTTAGCTTCTTGGAACGCAGTTTGTCGTTCTTCAGTCCAGTCAATCTTCTGGCAGCCTTTGACATCGGAGCCTTCCAATAATTTGTTAAGCGGTGCTAGAACCTCAGCGGCGTTCTTAATAAATTTTCTATAGAAAATTAATGTTCCGAGGAATCCGCGCAAGGATTTGA